TCCTGTCAGTCAGGGGTGGGAGTCTACCAGTTCACACCTATTTGCTAGAACCGGTTGTTAGAAGAAATTACTGGACTAATCCTGTAAGGAAGGCAGGAAGGAAACATTCTGGTGTTGCTTACAGAAACTGCCTCTCCGTTAACCTTTATTACATTCTTGGCAGGACTAGACTTCCTGTCTCCAGAGCTTCTCTGGAGGTTTTTTTCCCCTCCTTTGCTGATACTTTGCTTCTGTGGAGTGACCATTCAAAGTTACACTGGCACTGAAAAAAGTGACTTATGACCATTTTTCACACTTACGACTGTTGCAGCATCCCCACAGTCATGAGAGGCCAGGCATGCCTCGGTGTGAGTGATATTGAGTTGGTCACACCCAGCCAATAATATGACCACCAAGCCATGTCCACCCAGTCACATGACCACCAAGCCACACCCACCGCCTAAGCCACACCCACAGAACTGATTGTTAAAAATTTTGAATCCGACCCTCGCTGTCAGTGTTTGGTATTTCTCTAGGTTGCATAGTGGAGATGATTATGAATTACAATGAGGACTCAGATTTTCAACATAAATTCACATAGATGAAAGCCTACTGGTACGTTATTTAATTTTATGTCCTGAAATGAAGTAAATTTCCTCAGATGGAAGTAGGACAGTTAAATTATTAGACAATTCTGCCTTTGTGAACTTATATTAATGTAATGTATTCTGGACATGTTAAAAATCCTCACAGGACTGATTTTTTTAAAGAGAAGTGCAGGATATTTCACAGTTTTAGATACACTGTCAAATTGCTTCCAGTGTGTCTGTATAACTAAATCAAATTAGGTTCACTCAGCTCAATGAAACAGCAGTACAGTTCCACAGAGAGATATTTAACTATCAATTTAAAACTACTGCAGGGTTATCACTAGCAAATAAGATTATTATAAGGAGCTGGCATTTGTGGATACTGTACCTCATTCTGGGTATTCTACCTGAATGACCTCTTTACAAACTGCTAATTCATCAAAGCTGGAAATGTTCAGGGCAGATAATAGATCTACCAAAAGGCAACAATCTCCTCTATAGTTTCTATGCAAGATGGGAGTGAATCAGGAAGGCACTTTTCCATTCATTTTGGTTGATCTCCTCTGACACAGTTCAGTTGATCACATGGTGCCCTCAATGGGATGAAATATTCTAAGTATGGTCTGACCAATGCAGAAGAGAGGACAGTGACTTAAAGTTCCTGATTTCAGTGTCTGCTCTAAACATGACTACATCTGGATCTGTTAGAGAGAAGGATCAGGGGAGACATGATAGCAGTCTTACAATATTTGAGGAGTTGTCACAGAGAGGAAGGGGTCAAGCTATTTTCTAAAGCTCCTGTAGGCCAGACAAGGAATAATGGATGGAAACTGAACAAGGAGAGATTTAACCTGAAAATAAGGAGAAACTTTCTGACAATGGGAACAATCAACCAATGGAACAGCTTGCCTTCAGAAGTTGTGGGAGAGCCATCACTGGAGACTTTCAAGAAGAGATTGGACTGCCATCTGTCAGAAATGGTGTAGGGTCTCCCGCTTGGGTGGGGGGGTTGGACTAGATTACCTACAAGGTCCCTTCCAACTCTGATTATCTGTTATCTGTTCTTACAAGATCATTTCACTTAATTTCACTTATATATTCCTAGTGTGGTGTGTGTGTGAGGCGGGGGGAGAGGGAGAGAGAGAGAGAGAGAGAGAGAGAGAGAGAGAGAGAACTTTTAGGGCATAGAAGTAAAGAGTTGAAGCCCAACAGCAATATTATATTAATGAATTGCCTAGCACTTATTTCCAAAATGTTGTTTAATCATCTATTTAAACCACTATACTCCATTTCTCCCCTTAAAAAGAAGAAATAGGTCAGTTGATCCCAAAATGTACAAAAGAAAAACTGCAAGTAGCCATCATTTAAAACATTCACACATACCCTAGACTTTCATAATTATGAATCCAAGATCAGGTGTTTCCTTTTGCTAAGTGACAAGCCTGCTCTATTCCAGCTGTCTCTAACCTATCCTCTAGTCATGCCGCACTATCCTTCCCATCAACGTCAATGGCCTTGCTGGCTGGAAATGATTAAAGATCTAGCCCAAGGGTCTTCAAACTTGGCAAGTTTAAGACTTGTGGACTTCAACTCCCAGAATTCCTGAGCTAACATGACTGGAGGAGGAATTCTGGGAGTTGAAATCCACAAGTCTTAAAGCTATGAAGTTTGAAGGTCCCTGATCTAGCCCCATGTATCTAAGAAAGATGTTTGTACAATGGCTTGGGTTTCTGCATTAAACAGTAGGAGGGAAAATTGTATATTTTGAAATTTTTCAGTTTGTTAATTTTTATATAAGAAGTTAGCATATGAAATAAAGAGCTGGACCAGACATTTATTCCCTAGTATTCTGCTTTGTCTGTATCTTGGTAGATTTTTAAAGATTAAAGCTTTTACACATTAGTGTAAAGGTGTTAGTCTTTTGTCACAACAGCTGAAAAGCTCCTTCGACCTAAATCCCTTGAATATGCATGCTCATCTTGTTCATCTTTTATAAGGTAACTTATGCACTTCAGAAAAATATGGGAAACAGAAACAACATAGCAAACATAGTTCATTGCATAGGGACTGCCAAGTTGGAGATGATTATTTATGCAATGTCTGGCATTCTAGGGGTGAAGATTGCATATAGTATATGTCTATGGAGATTCTCAGTCAACCAGGTCATGGTTGTCCCGAAGTTGCTTTTTCAAGAGGCAACTGAACTTTCTGGTTTTTCTCTGAAGATACTTTGCTTCTCATCCAAGAAGGTGAAGAAGGTTCTGGGATGAGAAGTGAAACATCTTCAAAGAAAAACCAGAAAGTCCAGTTGCCTCTTGAAAAAAGGACCTTTGGGATGAGATAAAATAATGTGCTATGCAATAAGAAGGTGAGAAGAATGTTATAGAGAAGCGAAGGGCATTAATACACTTCGATAACTAGTTCCAGACAATTCTGATATATTTTACAGCTAACAGGATACATGAAGAAAAGCTATGTCAGATCATTACCCAGAGACTTTTTTGGAGACAATTTTACAGATTTTTAAAAATCCAGTTAAACAAGATCAACTTTCAGTAACTACATCCCAAGTGACTCGTATGTATGTATGTATGTATGTATGTATGTATGTATGTATGTATGTATATGGTATTCAGCTTTGTTTGGGTATTTTCCCACGTCATTATAATTGTGCTTTTAAAGTTGTAGCAAAGTTGTGCTTTTAAAGTTGTAGAATCTCATCTGCCATCATCAGATTCTGCCGAAATGTTGCTACAACTTTAAAAGCACAACTATAATGACGTGGGAAAATACCCGAACAAAGCTGAATACCATACATGTAAGTACCCGCGAAAACTTAAGATTATATATATATATAATACTCTATATTTATACTCTCTATATACATATAATTTATACATATAGTTTATACTCTCTATATATACACATATACATATACATATACATATATACATGCATGCATGCTCAGGTGACCATTTTAAAGAGAATATATTCTGATCACGAGTGTTATAAAACTTTCACCATCTGAAGTGCTAATAGAAGCCATGAATTCATACAAAGTTTGAATTTGTTCATCTTTATATGACACAGTTTGATCATAATTATTTCTAAAGATTTTTCAGAAGAGTCGAAGAGGTTTTGCACAGTTTTCACAGTTATTCATTTGTAACTTGGAGCAGATCATCTTTTCCTAACTTGGTCTTCTATCAGATGTATTGGAATTTAGCTCCCAAATTCCCTGACCATCATATTAAACATGAGCTGGATGAAGTAACAGCAACTTTCCATTTTTCGATCATCTCTGAACAGTATTGATCAATTGCAAAACTCACATCACTGAGTTCTTTTCCCAATATAGTACATTATAGGCAAAAAGAAAACAAATAACATAATCTTATTACAATACCCTTTACAACCTGTCAGAGAAAAACCATGACATTCCATAATCGCTTTGAAATATACATTAGGCTTCCTTTTTAAAGGAATTAAAAACAGTATACAGCTATAATCAATAATCTTCCCATCAGTGGAATTCAGCTCACATTCACACACACAAAAAAATTGTATGTTGGCTTATTTTAAGCCATTGATAATAAAAGAATGAACAAACTGTGAAAGGATAAAACATGCATTTAATTCCTAAATAAAAATGAGAGGCAAATCTGTTTATACTCTAGAATAATCCTAAGTATGTTCTTAGCATCGAGCTAAAACTGACAAAGTCCAAAAAGATTTACAATATTGAACAGCTATAATTCTGCTCACCCCCAAATAAAGCTACTTCATTTGGTTATATAAAAAGATGTTTACTAACTGATTTTTTAAAAAGCTGGAAACAAAATTGAATTAAACTAAAATGCTGGCATCTGATGACCTACCTACATGGCAGTATCCTGGCAAACAGAAGTATGTATCCAAGAGCTTGCTTTTCCTAAACCAAAATGCTATTTGTGTCAAAATCCATATACTGTATATTGAGATGGAAGAACTGGCAGTGAATTTAACATGTTTTTCTTCTAAATATAAATACACAGGATTATGCTGCCCATTTACTTCTAAGTAGACATTGCTGAACATTAAGATGAAGATTTTGAACTTCAGTAGAAAAGGCAAATGGAATTAAAGACTCATTCAGGACAAGATACTAATTCTATAGGACATCTAGAGGTTTCCTTTGTGAAACCATCAAGAGGGTTTCATCCAAAGAAAGAAAAGTTAAACTCCACACAAAGCCTTTTACTCCATTTTAAACCATTACTGTACAGAAACATAAACCACAAGAGGCTCAAACCATAGGAAAAAAATGATAGGACTGCGAAGTGCAACTGATTTTAATTGTACCTAAACAATTCATAAATTGTTAAGCAAATCCAAACGGTTGCATCTATGATCAAACCAAGGCATGAACGAATGAGGCAAGGCCTTACTCACCTGGGATGGGAATAATGGGAACAGTTTCGTTTGGTACCACCCGAGGAGAACTGCTGTCTTCTACATAGAAATGAGCTGTCTGGAAACATTTTCTGCAAATGGAAGAGAAACAACATTACAACCTTCAGGGTTTAGGGGCACTTTTGTTCAAAATCAAACATTTCAACAAGCCGGTTTGAGCAAGTCCACTTCTCCCCTAATGCCAATGGTTGTTGTTGGCTATTTAAATAAAAAGTTAGGACGCCAGGAATTTCCAATGGGAAAGAACTGTTAATTAATTTAGGACCACAGGATCTTATCTATTATTAAATTGTCCAAAAAAGTTTAGCAGCAGTGAGGTTCAGATTTGTTCAGGTTGTACTTACAATAAACTTCCAAGCTCTGCAACAGCTCCTCAAAAGGAAATTTAAGAGGGACAACCACAACCCTGCAGAAAATGTTCCAACTTAACACCAAGGAAAGAGCAGATAGCATCTTAAACTGACACCTGGGATCCTCCTTCCTTCAGAAAGTTGCAAACTTTCTAAAACTCAACACAACTTTGCATCATCTCTCCCGTCCTCTTCTTCTTCTGTGCCGTATTTCCTATGAAACAAGACCCCAAACCCATGCCCAGGAAATCCAACGTTGCTTGTCAGCAAGACTCCCCCCAAACCTTGAAAATGAAGGCAACTCCGATGGCCGCACCCCAGCACCCGCCCACCCAAGAGCCCAAACCTGAATGAATGGAGTCCACCTGCCTAAGGCTTCTCAGTGCAGTCTTTTACCTGTACTTAATGCAAAGCAGGGAGCATAAGCTGGTCATCATGGAGAAGGCACTGAGAAGGAGAGCATCCAGCGTTCCACTGAGCCTCTGCATGGTGATGCTCAGCAAGACACGGTTTTCCAGCAGCAGCGTCACTGCTTGGTGCTGCCTTAATGAGCTGCTTGCAGCTGGAAGTGAATATTTAATGAGCCTTGCTCAGCATGAGCTGCTCTTGTGACGGGGAGAAAAGAGGGCTACTCTCAGCTGTTAGAAGCCCTTTGCCAAATCCTAGAGAGAGCAGAGATCCCATCTTCCTGGCCAGCTTGAAAACAGACAAACAAACAAGACCTCTGCACTTCTGGACAGAAAGCTTGCAACATCACTCGGGTGAAGTTTCCCTGAAAAAGCACAGGGCTGCTTTTTGCTGGTTAAAAATGTTTGCAAAAGCAAATTCTCTTGCTGGCTAGCTCGGCTTCTGGAATCAGGGCCAAGCAGAACAGCCCACCACCATCCCATCCACTCTGCTGACACGGTCAAAGCAATTTCTATAGCCATTGTTTGCAGCAAGAGTTACATAGTAGAGCACTTTGAAAAGAAAGAAGGGAAGGGAAAAAACAACCACACAACTCTCAGCAAATATCAAAGGCCAAGGGAAACACTTAGAAGAGTTTGTATTGGTTTGAATTGCACTGGCATCCTAAGGCTGTCAGATCAAGAGGTAGGCTTTGTGGAATTCTGGTAGCATCGTTTGGTTAACTTGAGCCTCTCTCTCACTCCATGTCTTTACTTAGCTGTCTGCCCCCGCAAGTGCAGCCATCTCCTGTGCAGCTTTGCCCACGTGAAGAAAAAAGCACATACGAAGAGCTGCGGGACTGGAGCTTTAATATCCAAAATTACTTTTGAAAAAGGAAGAGAATGCAGTCTTTTTAATTCCTTGCTCCTAAAGCCATGCACTATGAATTAAGCAAGAAAAAGGTGTTCCAAAGCTACTTTCATCCCCAGTTAATTTTATGGTGATAACAGAATTAGAGTGTAATTACTAAACAAATTAAGGACTAGTTATTGTGGTCAGCTGAACTTTGATTTAAAGAAAATCAGCTTGTTTATATATTTGAATTTGAAAACCACTCATCTCTGTTACAGGGCAGTATACAATGAAAACATAAAAAGCATACAATAATATCCAAATGACATATTATTTATATTTTAAGCCATTAAAACCACCAATTATGCCACTAAAACAAGAATAAAATAATTAAAATTGAAAGTTAAAAAAAGAGTGGAAGGGCTTTCAAGGCACTAATCAACCTCATAGCTGCATGTTCCTTATCCATCAGATAGATATCTCTCTGTGTCTCTGTCTCTGTCTCTCTCTCTCATCTCTCTCTCACACATACACACATCTCTCTTTTATTTAATCTATCTTTCATCTATTCTATCTATCTGTCTATCTATCTATCTATCTATCTATCTATCTATCTATCTATCTATCT